ACATTAAAATCAATGCTTCAGAAGAAGCGGTGATAGAGCGCTTGAGGGCGTTGATTCGTGGACAGAAATTCCCCATGTGTGTCAAGAAAGACATGAAAATCTCCAGTGCAAACATCACTACAGGTAGGAGAAGTATAAGCGGAGTAATACCTTTGTGTTCATATTAATCTTATCAATTATTTCTACATGTTTCCTCCAAAATGTTAATAATTTGTTCCATTTTCAGTGTGTCTCTCAAATTCGAGCAAAACTGAGTGCAAGTGTGACAATCAATACGCTTGGCCGTCTGAACAATGCTCTAAACATGGCGTTTGCGGCCACAGTCAAAATGGTACGTGTGGATGCATCACTTCTCTTCCAACTGAAGGAGCGTTCTGCCGGCCACCACCTGGTAAAGAGTCTCTCTTTATTTCAAATCTAAGTTGGAGGTTGGTGTGAAGTCTGATGCAGTTTATGACCAGTGTATTATTTATGTCTTTTCTTAATGTATGCAGCTCCACTAAAGTCCTTCAAATACACCATTGACATTAAAATCAATGCTTCAGAAGAAGCGGTGATAGAGCGCTTGAGGGCGTTGATTCGTGGACAGAAATTCCCCATGTGTGTCAAGAAAGGCATGAAAATCTCCAGTGCAAACATCACTACAGGTAGGAGAAGTATAAGCGGAGTAATACCTTTGTGTTCATATTAATCTTATCAATTATTTCTATGTGTTTCCTCCAAAATGTTAATAATATGTTCCATTTTCAGTTTGTCTTTCAAATTCGAGCAAAACTGAGTGCAAGTGTGAGAATCAATACGCTTGGTCCTCTGAACAATGCTCTAAACATGGCGTTTGCGGCCACAGTCAAAATGGTACGTGTGGATGCATCACTTCTCTTCCAACTGAAGGAGCGTTCTGCCGGCCACCACCTGGTAAAGAGTCTCTCTTTATTTCAAATCTAAGTTGGAGGTTGGTGTGATCGTAAAGTCTGATGCAGTTGTAACCTGGCCAATACGTTCAATATATTTTAATTCAAATAATACCGACTACGCCACCTCGGGAGTTTTACCCAAGGAAGTAAAGAAAGGAACTCAGGTTCGGTGGTGCAGTGAAAAGACAGAGTCGCTTCAAACAATGAACAAATTAGTGATTTTATTTGGTTAAGAAAATCATTCGACTGGCATCGTTTGAGCCCAATATAAATAATGGCACGTTTATTTAAACAGTAAAATTAGCATCATGTTAAGAACAAGGCATTCCTCCTGACACACTGGATCCAAGCACAGAATCACATCAAATTCACAAAGAAAGAAATATACGGTTCCCACAAAAGCAAACAAAGAAAATGATTGATTACCAAAAATAACAACCATTACAAGGCGTACGTTACCTTGGGGGTGGCAGCCTAGCAAAAAAACAAATGTGCCCTCAACCACTTAAGTGTGTACAGCAAACAAAAATGGGAAGATGTGTTCGACCCTGGTGCTCCACACTCACGACAAATGTGTTCACCCAAGTGTCTAGCCTCCTCCTCGGTGCACTCAGCCTTGACTGGAACCAAAGAGAAACAAAGAAAAATTAGTGGGAACAGTACTATTACAAAGTCACCACAACATCCATTTAGACACAAATATAAGATGGTTGACAGAATTAGTTGGCGCGCAAATAATCCGCCTATCTCATCAGCGTTGCGGTCCCTAAATACAAAGGCAGGCGGTGGTTAGACGGAAAATACACACTGTGATAGGTTTTCACCGCGCGGCCAATGGCCCAATCACACTAGTCAACCAACCTTGATGTTGAAATAAACTAACCCAAACCAAGAAGAAATAAAACCAACCAAAACCCCAAAAAAACTACTAAAGTTAAACTTAAGGAAAACAATATCCCATCACACAAAACACGAATAACCAAATCATGAAAAACAGCAGCACGACCTGAGTTGACCACCACATGGTACGCAGAGACTGCAAAATAAAACAAAACAATCAGGCAATGATTTGTTAAAAAAAATACAAAACCTTCCCTAAATCATACATACCACAAAAGAATTACACGCACATCGCATTGTCAGGATACATTTGCGGATGTTCTTATGAAACACACAATAATCCCCATTAAACTCGACTAACACCGTAGAAAGCACGCCACAACATATTGTGATAGCCAACATACCTTAAGCTTTCAGGTGAGTGCTTGACGCCACTCTGAGGGCACGCCGTCGAAACAGCTACAACAGTCACTTCAGAAATAAAACACATACTCTGAGCATTTAAAAACCACACGAGCCGTGCACAACTTCCGTCACCTACCTCGACTATAGTGATCCTGAGAACCAGACGAGGGGCGGGTATGACGCAGCCTACGTTCTAGGGCTTCCCGTCTACGCACTTAAATACACCGCCGCCATTTACCTCATCCAACCCATCCCATATAAGGGGCTTGACACAAACAGGAGACGGGAAATCCCCTCCTACTACACAGTTTTTGACCAGTGTATTATTTTCTTCTTTTCTTAATGTTTGCAGCTCCACTAAAGTCTTTCAAATACACCATTGACATTAAAATCAATGCTTCAGAAGAAGCGGTTATAGATCGCTTGAGGGCGTTGATTCGTGGACAGAAATTCCCCATGTGTGTCAAGAAAGGCATGAAAATCTCCAGTGCAAACATCACTACAGGTAGGAGAAGTATAAGCAGTGTAATACCTTTGTGTTCATATTAATCTTATCAATTTTTCCTGTGTTCCCTCCAAAATGTTAATAATTTGTTCCATTTTCAGTGTGTCTCTCAAATTCGAGCAAAACTGAATGCAAGTGTGAGAATCAATACGCTTGGCCCTCTGAACAATGCTCTAAACATGGCGTTTGCGGCCACAGTCAAAATGGTACGTGTGGATGCATCACTTCTCTTCCAACTGAAGGAACGTTCTGCCGGCCACCACCTGGTAAAGAGTCTCTCTTTATTTCAAATCTAAGTTGGAGGTTGGTGTGATCTTAAAGTCTGATGCAGTTTATGACCGGTGTATTATTTATGTCTTTTCTTAATGTTTGCAGCTCCACTAAAGTCCTTCAAATACACCATTGACATTAAAATCAATGCTTCAGAAGAAGCGGTGATAGATCGCTTGAGGGCGTTGATTCGTGGACAGAAATTCCCCATGTGTGTCAAGAAAGGCATGAAAATCTCCAGTGCAAACATCACTACAGGTAGGAGAAGTATAAGCGGAGTAATACCTTTGTGTTCATATTAATCTTATCAATTATTTCTACATGTTTCCTCCAAAATGTTAATAATTTGTTCCATTTTCAGTGTGTCTCTCAAATTCGAGCAAAACTGAGTGCAAGTGTGAGAATCAATACGCTTGGCCCTCTGAACAATGCTCTAAACATGGCGTTTGCGGCCACAGTCAAAATGGTACGTGTGGATGCATCACTTCTCTTCCAACTGAAGGAGCGTTCTGCCGGCCACCACCTGGTAAAGAGTCTCTCTTTATTTCAAATCTAAGTTGGAGATTGGTGTGAAGTCTGATGCAGTTTATGACCAGTGTATTATTTTCTTCTTTTATTAATGTTTGCAGCTCCACTAAAGTCCTTCAAATACTCCATTGACATTAAAATCAATGCTTCAGAAGAAGCGGTTATAGAGCGCTTGAGGGCGTTGATTCGTGGACAGAAATTCCCCATGTGTGTCAAGAAAGGCATGAAAATCTCCAGTGCAAACATCACTACAGGTAGGAGAAGTATAAGCAGTGTAATACCTTTGTGTTCATATTAATCTTATCAATTTTTCCTGTGTTTCCTCCAAAATGTCAATAATTTGTTCCATTTTCAGTGTGTCTTTCAAATTCGAGCAAAACTGAATGCAAGTGTGAGAATCAATACACTTGGCCCACCGAACAATGCTCTAAACATGGCGTTTGCGGCCACAGTCAAAATGGTACGTGTGGATGCATCACTTCTCTTCCAACTGAAGGAACGTTCTGCCGGCCACCACCTGGTAAAGAGTCTCTCTTTATTTCAAATCTAAGTTGGAGATTGGTGTGAAGTCTGATGCAGTTTATGACCAGTGTATTATTTTCTTCTTTTCTTAATGTTTGCAGCTCCACTAAAGTCCTTCAAATACACCATTGACATTCAAATCAATGCTTCAGAAGAAGCGGTTATAGAGCGCTTGAGGGCGTTGATTTGTGGACAGAAATTCCCCATGTGTGTCAAGAAAGGCATGCAAATCTCCAGTGCAAACATCACTACAGGTAGGAGAAGTATAAGTGGAATAATGCGTATATTTCTACATTTGAGCTCCAAAATCTTAATCTTTTTTTTCAATTTCAGTGTGTTTCAAAATTGAGCAAAACTAAAGAAAGTCTGGTAACACTTTAGTTAAGGTCTAATTCTCACAATTAACTAGTTGCTTATTAACATACATATTTACTAGGATAGTGGCTTTTGATTAGTACTTATAGAGCACATATTAATGCCTTATTCTGCATGACCATATTCTACATCGCTTAGTCACCCAATACCTAAACTTAAAAACTACCTTATTAACTATAAATAAAGCAGTTAATGAGGCAAAAGTCATAGTTAATAGTTAGTTAATAGTGAGAATTGTACCCTAATCTAAAGTGGGACTGAAAGTCTGTTTAAAAAAATCTATACTGACAATTAGTGTGATCGTAGAGTTTTTGACACCAGTCTATTATTTTTGTCACCCCCTAATAAAGAAGCCTCTCTATATCACTAGTCAAAAATGACAAATAATGTGATCGTAGAGTGTTGTGCAGTTTTGCAGCTTTTACATCCAAGTACATGAAAGCCATCTGGTATTTTTTCACCTGGTTCCCATCATAGGGCTTCTCTTTAATTTCTATGTTATCTGTCACTGTTTAGTGGAAAACTAATTCAGCTTTTACTATTACTTTTGTTAATATTACTTGTGTTTATTTTGATAGACATAAGTGTTTACATTGATGAATAGTATTTGACAATCAAAGTCATGTAATCAAATTAATTTATATCTTTGCTTATCATAGGCTGTCCCATACCTTCAACCACAATCCCAAACACAAGTGTATCTTCAACATCTACACCATCAGTGCCAACAGCAAACAATACAGGTATTACTTTTGCAACATACTCAATATGTTAATTTGTAAATTTGACTTAATTTTTAAAAATATTTTAGTCATGTGTAATATTTACTAAAATGTACCATTTCAGAAGTGTTTTTAGCAGGGTGCCCACAATGGTTACTTTGTTCCCCAGTTGTCTCGCGTTAATTGTGTTTCTTAGACAACTGATAATTTGTGAAGAATTACAAGTGGTCTGCTAGTAAATTTTTTCTTAATAAAATGTAAAAAACTTCACATTATATTTATATTTAAATGTAAAAAACACATCAGAGCTTAAACACTCTTATAAACGTTTTCTATTACAATTTTAGGTATCGTTCTTAGACAGTGATGTATCAAAGTAATATACAAAATATATAAAAAATAAATAAAAAATATCACTTCAAATGACATGGTACTGTATGTCACCAAAAACTAAAACCTTCAGAGATGTGTTTATCACTTGCCATGTTTACTTATTGTGCAGTAGTTGCCAGAAGATTACCTCTTTTTGATTTTGTAGATGTTACAAGCCGTTCAACCCTGATCACAAACACAACTGACAGTATAACAATAACAAGCGCTCCAGCATCTACTCCAACAGTAGAAACAGCAGGTAAGTGATTATATACTTTTATTACTGATTATATAGATTATAGACAAATGTGTAAGAAGCAGCCTTTTGGAGTGTTGGGCAGGGGTGTTTAGCTCAGCAACTAAAACCTTCAGAGATGTGTTTAGCACTTACCATGTTTACATATTGTTTAGTAGTTGTTAGATGATATTAATTACTTCTCATCTCAGTTAAAATTTGATTTTTGATTTTGTAGATGTTACAAGCCTTTCAACCCTGATCACAAACACAACTGACAGTACAACAATAACAAGCGCTCCAGCATCTACTCCAACAGTAGAAACAACAAGTAAGTGATTATATACTTTTATTACTGATTATATAGATTATAGACAAATGTAAGAAGCAGCCTTTTGGAGTGTTGGGCAGGGGTGTTTAGCTCAGCAACTAAAACCTTCAGAGATGTGTTTAGCACTTACCATGTTTACATATTGTTTAGTAGTTGTTGGATGATATTAATTACTTCTCATCTCAGTTAAAATTTGATTTTTGATTTTGTAGATGCTACAAGCCTTTCAACCCTGATCACAAACACAACTGACAGTACAACAATAAAAAGCGCTCCAGCATCTACTCCAACAGTAGAAACAACAAGTAAGTGATTATATAATTTTATTCACGTGGCGTTGTCACCAACAACTAGAATCTTAAAAGATTTTAGCCTTTCAACCCTGATCCAATGTTCCCTCTAATTTTTTTTCTTGCTGAGCAAAACTTTTTTTTATTGGGCGGACATTTTTCGCCACCTGAGGAAAAATATTCTTTATAACTGACCTGTACAGCATACGTTGAAACACAATGGTTTCAACATTCAGTTGTAACTTTTAACTTGAATTTGCCATTTCTATTTTATTTGACCCTTGATGTAACTTATTGGTATTAAATCATATTTTCGAAAAACAAGCAGTTAATTAAGAAGTCACTAAATGAAGCACATTTTAGGTTACCTGATTTAGGTTACTTTTTTTTACAGTGCTGTTAACTGTACAGTCTTTACCAAGAAATCCTATGAAAAATAATTTACAAAATCTTCTGCAGGACAGTTCAATTCTTTACAATAATAGAATATAGTATGAAAGAAAAGTAAGCTGTTACACTGAGATGGTTTGGGAAAACCATAAAGTGTTTTTGTTCAGTCAATTAATTGTGTACAGGAAGCATTAAACCATCAAAGTTAAATGATTGTTTATTGCTTATGAATTTCCAATATTTTCTTTAGCAGGGTGTTTCAAACTTTTTAATGGCAAGGAGCCCTAAACAATAATACCCTTGTGAGATTCTTTATTTAGGCTTATAATATAATAAAATATAGGCCTAATATAACCTAAACAATGTCCTTGTGATATTCTTTATTTAGGCTTATAATATAATAAAATATAGGCCTAATATAATATAATATAATATAAAAAAACAAATTTAAGTATTTGAAGTGATATAATATATCAGTTTAAATGCTTCAATTTGTTTACATATTATATTATTGTAATATGAAAACAAACTGAAGCATTTAAATAGATCTAATAGATAAATATTTTCAAGAAAAGTGAATGTGAACTCTTTTATAATCTAACCATCCCTGAAACTCCCCCACACACAAAAACATCTATTTAAACTAATGATGTATTTTGAATTTGCACGCGGGTGGGTGTGTAATTGTTACCGTTCTGTGTCCATCAACCGTTCTTTCCACCACTTTAATCAAACCACTCTTCTTTAAAACATTATGATGTTATTTTATTTCACATGTCTTTGCGTTTCTCGTTGCCTCTCGTATTGAGCTATTTGGTCCGCACACACGACTCACTGTCAATCACATGCGCTCACATCATTCTCTTTCTATGAAACATGTAAACTGCATTCACCAGTTTTCACTCTATAGCGGTAGACCAGAGCACTGAAATTATTTCTCATTTAAACTACAATCAAATGGATTTCCCCACACATTTCGCGTCAGTCCTCTGTGTGGCATTTTATTCTTTTCTGCGCGGCCGCCGCTTCAGAAGTCTGATGCCGAGGCATCAGAAGTGCGCGGCCACGCACGCGTGCAGCTTAGAGGGAACATTGCCCTGATCCCAAACACAGCTGACAGTACAACAATAACAAGTGCTTTATCTACTCCAATAACAAAAAACACCAGGTATATGATCATACAAAGCTTTCAAAATGTTTGTTATATGTATGACAAGTTTGCTTTGGTTATAGTATAGGTTGGACTTTATTGACCTCTACCACAATTGTTTCAACAGCAATTATTAGTGCTACAACAAAACCGGCAACACATGTGAATGAATGAATGAATGAATGAATGAATGAATGAATGAATGAATGAATGAATGAATGAATGAATGAATGAATGAATGAATGAATGAATGAATGAATGAATGAATGAATGAATGAATGAATGAATGAATGAATGAATGAATGAATGAATGAATGAATGAATGAATGAATGAATGAATGAATGAATGAATGAATGAATGAATGAATGAATGAATGAATGAATGAATGAATGAATGAATGAATGAATGAATGAATGAATGAATGAATGAATGAATGAATGAATGAATGAATGAATGAATGAATGAATGAATGAATGAATGAATGAATGAATGAATGAATGAATGAATGAATGAATGAATGAATGAATGAATGAATGAATGAATGAATGAATGAATGAATGAATGAATGAATGAATGAATGAATGAATGAATGAATGAATGAATGAATGAATGAATGAATGAATGAATGAATGAATGAATGAATGAATGAATGAATGAATGAATGAATGAATGAATGAATGAATGAATGAATGAATGAATGAATGAATGAATGAATGAATGAATGAGGCATTTATATAGCGCTTTCATATGTACTACTCAAAGCGCTTTACAATCATATCAGGGGTTCTCTCCTCAACCAGCACCAAGGCAAGGCAAGGCAAGGCAAGTTTATTTATATAGCACATGTCATACACAATGGTAATTCAAAGTGCTTTACATAGGAGGAAATAATTAAAACAGTTTAGAATAAAAAATAAAATAAAGTACAGTACAGTAAAAACAGTCGGACGAACATTGGCACAGTGCTCATTCAGTAAATGCATAGCTAAACAGATGTGTTTTGAGTCTGGCTTTGAATGTGACTACTGTAGGAGCACATCTGATCTCTTCTGGAAGCTGGTTCAGCTGTGGCTGGCATAGTAGCTAAAAGCAGACTCTCCTTGCTTAGAGTGAACCCTTGGTATTTCTAACTGATGTGATCCTAATGATCTAAGTGATCTGTTGGGTTTATATTCATTGAGCATATCTGCAATATATTGAGGTCCTAGCCCAGTGAATGATTTATATACCAGTAATAATACTTTAAAATCAATCCTAAATGTAACTGGGAGCCAGTGTAAAGACCTGAGGACTGGTGTGATATGTTCAAATTTTCTGGTTCTGCTCAGGATCCTGGCAGCAGCGTTCTGTATGAGCTGCAACTGTCTTATGGTCTTTTTAGGAAGGCCAGTGAGGAGTCCATTACAATAATCCACCCTGCTGGTGATAAAAGCATGCACAAGTTTCTCTAAGTCTTGACTGGAAACAAAGCATCTAATTCTTGCAATATTTTTCAAATGATAGTATGCTGATTTAGTTATTGCTTTGACATGACTACTGAAACTAAGGTCTGACTCTAGAGACACACCAAAATTCCTGACTTGATTTTCAGTTGTTAGACCCCTAGCGTCAAGGTATGCATTCACCTTGAGAACTTCATCTTTGTTTCCAAACGCAATGACTTCAGTTTTGTCTTTGTTTAACTGAAGAAAGTTTTGGCACATCCAACCGTTTACTTCATCAATGCATTGGCACAGGGAGTCAATGGGGCTGTAGTCGTTAGGCTATAGGGCTAAGTAGAGCTGTGTGTCGTCTGCATAGCTATGGTAAGAGATTCGGTTCTTTCTCATTATTTGGCTCATTGGGAGCATGTACAGGTTGAATAGGAGTGGTGCAAGAATTGAGCCTTGAGGGACTCCGCATGTCATGGGTGTCCACTCAGACTTATGGTCTCCTATACTCACATAATAACCTCTCCCTTCTAAGTATGACCTGAACCATTTTAGGACTATCCCAGAAAAGCCCCACCCAGTTTTCCAGCCTGTCAAGAACTATGTTGTGATCGACAGTGTCAAATGCAGCACTGAGGTCGAGTAGTAAAAGCACTGATAATTTGCCTGTATCAGTATACACCAGTGTGCAGCATCCACTTGGATGATGCGACGGCAGCCACAGTACAACGGCGCCAGTGCGCTCACCACACACCAGCTATAGTTGGAGAGGAGAGAGAGTGATAGAGACAATTCAGTGGTTGGGGATTATTAGGAGGCCATGATTGGCAGGGGCCAATGGGTGGAATGTGGCCAAGACACCGGGGTTACACCCCTACTCTTTACGATAAGTGCCATGGGATTTTTAATGACCACAGAGAGTCAGGGCCTCGGTTTAACGTCTCATCCGAAGGACAGTTTGTGAAAATACTGGAGTTCTGGTTTAATATACTATAACACATACATATTACATACACACACAACTAAAATCAGCTGCAGTGTGTTTAGAAGTGCTCCACGTTTAGATTAGATTAGTGTTAGAAGCTTAGATTCTTAAACACCATGTTTCCACTTGAACAAAAGTCTTGTTTTCACAAATGTCAAAAGACCTACAATCCTAATCAAACAGGCAGCAACAAAACTTGAAAACACACTTTGGTATCAGCTTGTTAGTTTTGCTAGACAAATGTGTAAGAAGCAGCCTTTTGGAGTGTTGGGCAGGGGTGTTTAGCTCAGCAACTAAAACCTTCAGAGATGTGTTTAGCACTTACCATGTTTACATATTGTTTAGTAGTTGTTGGATGATATTAATTACTTCACATCTCAGTTAAAATTAGATTTTTGATTTTGTAGATGTTACAAGCCTTTCAACCCTGATCACAAACACAACTGATAGTACAACAATAACAAGCGCTCCAGCATCTACTCCAACAGTAGAAACAACAAGTAAGTGATTCAGTTTACATGGCATCTTTGCTAAAAACTAAAATCTTCAGAGGTATGTTTAACACTTACCTTGATTTTGTGATGTTTCCTATCTGTCAGTCACTGTGTCTAAAACTGACACTATGGGTCGCACTTGGTATCCCTGATAATTTGAGAAAAGGCCAATGAGAATTGGCATGCGTGATTTGCATGTGCCACTCTCCCAAACATACGGGTATAAAAGGAGATGTCGTGCATCAACTCATTCAGACTTGTTCTTTGGGGCCCTGTGTATGTGTTTACAACCATCGTTCATTTCATTCACATCTATTCAAGGGAATCTTCTAACAAAGCTGGTGTACATGGCGCATTGCAGCGGTCTCTCTCCCCCCGTTCTAAGGCACAGATAAGTGCAGAGAGCTCCCCTGGGCGCTTCAGCAATAAAAGAGCAGATTTCCCTAAAAGAGCAAATGCAGACAGAAAAGGTCTTTTTAAAGTTGCCTTCAAGCCTGTGTGTTTCTGGATGTGGTCCGTACCCAGGGCCGTAGCTAGAGGATTAACTAACAAAAAAGCAAGAAATTGTTCAATAATAATAAAACCAATTTTTAAAAAGTAATATTTTTTTCCCCATCAGTCTGTTATAATTCATAAATCAAAAAGTAAACATTTAGAAATTGACAAGAATGCAGTCTAATTCAAAAAATAAAACCATTCATTGTCTTATTTTTTAATAAAGATAATATGGAACTGGTAATATTATTAAATAAAGCGAATACATTTATTCATCCAAGTGCAGTGTGTTGTATTCGTGTTTTCTCGATGTTTTAAATATCATCAGCCGGCAGGTCAGATGCATAATGCAATGCGTCCTGACTCGTGTAATTTTTTTAAAACTCTAGTTACAATAGTGTAAAAAGACAGGAATTTAGACCACGTAATCATTCGGTCGATTGCGGCGCGCACCGATAATAAAAAATGACTGTACACGGCAGACTGTAGACGGAAGTTTTCTAATTCCCAGCGAAATAACAATATATAACCGGTCTTTAAGAACGTCTTGATCGACTAGGATACAACCACTCTCCTTGCCTCCCTCTCCGTCTTTTCCTGGCATTTCTGGTTCCCTGATTTATGTTTTCTTTTCCCCGACATTTTTCAGTCAGTCAGTCTCCTGCTCTTCCACCAAGTTCATCGTTAACTTCAGGCTGCCGCCTCAACTCTGATTGGTTCTGTTCACGAGCTGGGGTGGGACTTACAATTTTATTGGGTCCATCTGATGTTTGTCACTGACTCTGACTGAATAATTAATAAATATTTTAGGTCGGACTAAACCATTTTTATGGAGGTAAGAGAAGCAGAAATTTGGAAAAATATTTACCCAAATTGCACGTTTTTGCGGTTTTCATTTAAATCTCAGGCATACAACTAATATAAAAATTAGAATTATTCATACAACAGGGGCCTAAATAGTATAACTGCTGGTTTTTGTGGGGCCCCCTGGGCAGCGGGGGCCCCTATAATTGTCACCACCTTTCACCCCACTAGCGACGGCCCTGTCCGTACCTCTCATCCTCGAACGGCCATGATTGCTGTCTTAAGTGTTTGGGCCGTACCCACACTAAGACAGCGTTTGTTGATGGTTCATGTTCTCACTGAGAGAACAACGTTGCGCTCACAATTCTCTTTTCTGTTTGAGAGAGTCACCTCAGTTGCTCCTCTTCCTGGTCTTTCTGCTATGCACAACAATATGCAGCAACAATGGAAGCCTTTCCACCAAGTCAATCCCCACGGACCTCCAAATATTTGTCAAGCACGTTCCGCCCAGTCGAGAGCACCTCTGCCCTGCATGCCATGTCCATCCCGCATGTCCAAAGCTCTAAAAGAGCCGGGGTTGAGGCAGGAACTTCACTTGGTGACCAACTTTGCTCTCCGAGCGACGAAGGTCCACCATGGTGATCCAGGAACAACATCTCTTCCACTTCCTCATTCCCTGGGTCACACAGTCTGCAGCTCAGGCATACTGGATGCGAGATTGTTGCCTCCTCATCTCCAGCCTCGACTCACACAAAGGCCCACACAGGTCAGTGCAGCATATTCAGGCCTAGTTAGCGCTTCCCAACCCATCATTCTGGCACAACAGGACAGCCAGACTCGGCTATGCGATTCAGTTCGCCAGGTACCCGCCCAGGTTCAACAGTGTCCTTTTTACTTTGGTGGCAGGCAAAGATGCCCTTGTCTCGGCACAACGTCTTGTTCACTCTATCAGGAAACGGAAGTTACAGTAGTAACCAAGACTTTCACTAGTTACCAGACTATCCTTAATTCTTGACCATCAAGCTTGCACTTGTCTGATCATCAAAACCTTTGCTTTTCATAGAGTTTACTATCCCTTCAGCCCCAAACACAACTGAGAGCACAACAGCCGTGACAAGTGCTCTGATGTCTTCCTCAACAACAGTAACAAGTAGGTGATCCTACAAACCTCTTCATGTAAGACAAATGTTTCTGTGTGTGCTAAATCAGACTCCAGTTTATATTATTTATTTTATTTTTTGTTTATTTCACTTTATTGTTCTTATTCGTATTGCTTGTAAATGTGTTTTTAAAATGATAATTCCCCACAACAAATGCACTTACATTTCCAAATGATTTCATGATGTGAAATTTATGTAAACACAGTCAATTATGTGTTGGACAGCACAAAACATCTGATATGTTGAAATAGATCTGTGCATAAGTGTGAATGCAACTTATTAGACCTGCTGCTATCTATGATGTTATCAGTAATACTCAAATGGCAATAATGCTGAGAAAAAGTGAAAATCGGATCAGATCATGAGATGTGCCTTCATAAGTGGCTGGAAACAAACTGGAGCTGACATACTCTCTAGTTACCTCGGGCATCCTGAGATAAAGCAAATGGAAAATAATTAGCGTAGCTGCTGTTCATAACATTAAGCAAAGATAATAATGTGCATTTGATCTGATATAACTGAAGTACAAGGTTATGATATGCATTATGTGAATGCTTAGCTAAAGAGATGTGACTTTAATCTAGATTTAAACTGTGACTGAGTCTGAGCTCCAAACAATATCAGGCTATTCCAGAGTTTAGGAGCCAAATGCAGAAACGCTCTCCCTCCTTTAGTGGACCTAGGTACTACCAAAAGCCCAGAGATTTGTTACCTTACAGAGCATGATGGATTCTAGGGCAATAGAAGATTGGTTAAATACACAGGACCTAACCGTTTAGGGCCTTATAGGCCAGTAGCAATATTTTGTAATTTGATAAGGAACTTAAAGGTGCTGTATGTAACTTTTTTACTCTACTAAAGCATACAAATACCATAATATGTTTGCAGATATTTAGGAAACATGCTAAGTTCACATACTCGTTTCTCTGAAAAACACTTCTACAGCCAGTTATTTTACTTGTTATTTTACACGTTCCGTGTTGTTTTTGTTTTGGTCTTTGTGATCTCGCCCACTACCAGTTCACCCAATAGTATTTCGACACCTTGGGATGCCAGTTGGCAGGAAACACAGTGTATTGCAGCCTTGGAAACGAGCAAACAAACTGGGTCAGATATTGCAGATTCCACACAACCTAAAAAGCCTTGATATCCATCTTAAAAACTCTATGAATGAGAGCATATTAAAACGCGGATAAATCAACTCATCAACTTACAGTGCGTAGGTCTCCTCGGCTTTCGTTGTCGATTGCGCTCGTTCCTGTTGCGTGTCCTTAAACTGGCAACCCACGTGAGCGTCGAGTCTGAGGAGGAGGGGGCGGGTAAAACAACTGTCTGATATTTTGAATTTGGACTGCAGTACCTATTTCACCCACTAGCTGTCATTCTTACAGACAGCACCTTTAATAGGTAACCAGTGTAGAGATGATACAATTGGAGTTATATAATCATATTTTCTTGACCTATGAACTCTAAGCAGCTGCATTTTGGACTAATTGTGCTTGTTTATTGAGAATGCAGAGCAACCACATGCGTAGTAATGCATTACACTAATCTAGTCTTGAGGTCATGAATGCATGAACTAACTTTTCTGCATCAGAAACAGATAGCATGTTCCGTAGCTTAGCAATGTTTCTGAGGTGGAAGAAGGCTGTTTTTGTAACATATGACATGATTTTCGAAAGACAATCATGCTGTCTAATATTCAAATTCAAATTCAATTCAAAAAAGCTTTATTGTCTATCCCCACAGGGGGGTAGAAAATTGTCTTTAGACAAGGGCTCAACAAACAGTACAATACAAAAGACAACCACACTATTTAAGACACGCCTCCCCCCTCCTCCCCTCCCCTCCCCTATTTCCTATTTAAAATATCAATGGCAGTCGGAATAAAAGTCTTCTTATATTTGGCCTTTTTCACCAAAGGTACTTTATATCGTCTACCAGATGGAAGTACATTAAATGAACTATGCAGGGGATGAGTAGAGTCTGTCACAATAACAGACGCTTTCCTTTTCACTGCCGCAGTGTAAAGATCAGACAGAGTTACTTGTTTCTCACCAATAATTTTACCAGCCATAATTATAATCCTTAACAGTCTATTTTTACATTTGACAGAAAGAGAGTTAAACCAGGATACAATGTTGAAAGTAAGCACAGATTCGATAAGTGATTTATACACCACTGTCAGAATGTCCTTTTCAACATTAAAACTCCTCAATTTCCTCAATAAACCTAGACGTTGATACGTCTTCTTAAAAACATTTTCTGAGTGCTTATCAAATATAACACCCAGGTCTTTAACTGTAGAGGATGAAGTAACAGTACATCATTCTAAATGCAAATTGTATTCTGAGAGATTCTGTGAACATGTTTTTGGTCCAATAAGTAAAACCTCAGTCTTATCTGAATTTAACAGAAGAAATTACAGTTCATCCAATATTTTTTTATTTTTAACACACTCTGCAAACTTGGATAATTTAGAGATTTCATCTGGTCTGAAATATAAGTATCGGCATCGGCACAACAGTGGAAACTAATTCCATGTTTTCCTATTACCAAGTGTCAGTATATTGAAAATAGCAAAGGGCCTAACACAGATCCTTGTGGCACTACATAATTTACTGGTGTTATCTTATATTTTTCCCTGTGGTAACGGTCTGATAAGCACTATTTGAAACAACCTTAATGCCTGTCCCTGAACACCAGTTTAATTTTGTAGTCGATCTAAGAGTATTTTATGATCTACAGTGTCCAACGCAGCCCTTAGATCAAGTAAAACTAGTATTGAGATCACAACAGCCTTGGTTAGAAGCTAGAAGACATTTGAAATTTGAACGAGCACAGGTTTCATGTGCTATGATGGGGCTGAATCCAGATTGAAATTTTTCATAGATATAATTTTTAGCAAGGAGCACAATTGAGCAGACACAACTTTTTCTAGTATTTTAGACATAAATGGAAGATTTGAAATGGGTCTGTAATTTGTTCATTCATTTGGATCTAATTGTGGTTTCTTGGGCCTGTTTACACCTGGTCATTTCATACGTTTTTTACTGATCGGAATCGGATAGCTATGATTTGTTAAAACGGTTCCATTTACATTTGCCCACATAAAACGGATATAAATCCGATCTTCAATTCCCACGCTATATGCAAATTTAACGGAGTTAAATAAAAAACGCATAAAGGTTACATGGTTACTTAACCAGGTAGGCCCATTAATGAGAGGCTTGAACGGTCTTGGGACATGCCTTAGAGATAAAGATGAGTTAATAATATTAAGAAGAGGCTCTTCGATATCTACAGGTAACAACTCTTTCATTATGGGTATGACTATGATCTAATTAACATGTTGCTGGTAATTTAGGCTGAATCATAAAACGTTGTCAAAGGTTGTACATTACAATTGTATTTCTGATGCTTTCGATTTTATCAGTGAAGAGATTCATAAAGTCATTACTGTGATGGAATATTTAATTCAGGTCTGTGTATATGTTAATATAGCCACTGTACTAAATAAAAGCCTTGGATTGTTTTGGTTTTCTATGAATTATGTCAACATTGTTGATCCTTATTAGTGGTAGAGAGAGACTGTACATTTGAAATGCATATATCCTCTAAATGCAGATTTTGTCTTTGTTTTGGAGCACAAACATATTCATACTAACAGCCAGAAAACTTAAATTTTAATTTCAGGGGGACAAAATTTTACTTTAAGTTTGTAATTACATATTTAATATATGGAATGTACTTATTTTAATAGAAAAATTAACCCTCTATTCTTAGGTCAATCTACCACAACAAAAGGACCAACAACAACTGTACTAACAACAAAAGCAACAACAGCTCTACCAACAACAAAGCCACCAACAGCAACACCGGTACCAATACCAACAACAACACCAATGTTTGGTAAGTACTGATTACACCAAAGGAAATCTAAAGACAAAGAAGTTTACTCCATTATACATGTTATGAAAACATATATAATATATATGCCTGAAAATAAAAAGATTTCTGAAATGAAAATTGAGTGCTTTTGGTTTGTTAGTGCAGAGATTTTTTAATTGAATACTGATTAATTTGATATCAGTTTTCACACTCAGTTGTCTGACTGTGAATCTTAACATAGTTGCGGTAAATCTGGCAGTCACAGGAAATAGCATAATCTAAGACAACCTATTTTGTGTCACTTTTGACTTAATGTTAAAGATTTGTTATTGAGCAACATACAGAAGCATCACATAAACCACTTTCTCTAGCAGAAACCTAAGTGTAAAAAACCTGCAAATTACTTTAACGACTTGAATGAAATTAACCATAATCCTGAGTGAGTATAAGGACAATATATTGGGAAAAGATTTCTGCCATCGTTCAATCAGTTTCAACGGCTATATCTATGAGATCAATATGGTAAAGATCAATATTACATTTAATAATACTTGTTTGCAAATCCCAGTTATAACTTATGACCTAATGGGGTTATGGTCTTTTCATGCTTATAATATCTGCTTGTATCAACATTTTGTTATTGCTTTTTCTTTTTCTTTTACTCCAGTAAAACGTCAGATATCACTGTCAATAGACGAGATTTTTGATGTAAGCCTGAATAATCAGAACAGTGGGAAATTCAAGGAATACAAATCAGATATTGAGGAAGCAGTAAGTGTTAAATAAAAACATCTTGTACCAAATGCAATTTGAATAAAATATAATCAATGATCTTGTGTTAGGGTATTAATTCAGCCATATAGTAAAATTCTCATGTGTTTTACTCCAGTGTTATTTGTCAAGAGACTGTGATTAGATGAATGTAAAGAGAAAAGGGCTTGAAGTTTTAACATTTATAAACAAAAGCTGTAAGAACATCATTGTAATAACACAATATTAAAAGAAATATATTTTTAAAATTCTGACGCGGCTTTGTCTCATGTAGATCGATAGCAGCTTCAAGGGTGTAAAAGGTTTCATTTCTTCTACTGTCACTGGTTTTAGGTATGGTATTTTTTCTCCCTAAGATTTTTGCTTTGCCATGGTCATTGTACTTTTGTTAGTTCAAATGCATAATAGACATTTTCTTGTATCTTTTTGTGTTTGATCAGGCCTGGAAGTGTGATCGTAGACTTCTTTATTACATCAGCTGAGGTGATACCGATTACTGGGGAGATAAACCGAGCAATTTACACCAACATGAAAGACGTCAAAGATTTCAAAGTTGATCCAACTTCAGTCGCTGAAACTGGTAAAAGATTATGCTGTACTTTTCTGTAGAACAAATATGCAAAATTATGTCAGATATGCAAGAGACAAAAGACATGTTGTTCAATAACCAGTATATTTCAAAATAATGTTTTTTTTTAAACATGTAAACACAGCAGTGTTTGTAGTATATGCTTCTTGAAGCTCTAACATGTCCACATCTGTGCTTGTATGTTTCTAGATAACAAAAACCTGCGAACAAGAGATCCTGTTTTTCCTGAACAAGATATAACACTCTCCTGCCCTGCCAACCTCCTTGGAAATGTAGACTGGAAATTTCAAGGAGGAATCGTACAGCAAAGCAGGCGTTATGTGTTTTCATTAGATCGTCTCTCCCTCACAGTCAAGAATGTTACCATCAGAGATAACGGTGAGTCTTTGCGCCCATGGCAGATCAAAGCTGCTGAAATATATAGTATATAATCTCAATCACAAAAGAAACAGCAACATAAATGTAGCTCCTTCTCTCTTCCTCCCCTGTCGTCGCTCCTCCGGTGTGTTTCGCAGGTGTCACTCATTTGCACTCATTCCTCTGGTCTCTCTCTCACAGCTCTCAGCCCCGCTCTGCTTGGCACAATTCAAATCATTTTTTTATTTTTTTTTATTTTTTATATAATTAGTAACTATTGTTTTTTTCCATCTAAATATCCAATTAATCCAAAAAATAATTGACAGATTAATCGATTTTCAAAATAATTTTTAAATGTAGCTCTAATAGAAACTTTGAATGAAAATCTGTTTTAACCATTCTCGTGTCTTTGAAGCTAAAATTAAATGTATGTCTGTTTTTGCAGGTCGTTACGAATGTGTGTACAACACAACCACAGGGCTGCATATTACTTGGGACAGGATTGACTACATTAAGCCATATCCTAGTATGCAAGTACCTACTAATAAGGCATACAAATGTGAAAATCAGCAGGTTGAGCTCGTCTGCTGTGTGCATTCTGATTACTCCATTCAGTGGGTGCAGGACAAAAAAATGCTGAGCAGCAGTAAGTATCAGAAATGGAAACAGTCCTTTTGTAATTTTTCAAATTCAGTCTTAAAACTGCAATGGGACAATTTTATTTCTTTATTTTTTAATTGAAGTATGTAAGTAGCCACATCTGTGATGTCTTTCATCTGCATCTTGTATTTCCAGAAACTGATTCACTGAAATGTATTACACAACAGTTTAATATCTTGAGTGAAAGTTCATGTGGGAAAAAAAGCATATTCACCTGCAAATTGAGCAATACAGATCTACTTGGATTCTCATACAGCTCAAGGGCTGTGGAACTATTTGTTTACAACCCTCTATCCCTAGACAGCAGTAAGTTCAAGTTCTGTTTCCACCCATTCTTGGCCGTCACTGAAATTCAGTTATCAGTTATAATGTTATCACATTATTAACTCATATAAAATATTATGTTTTATAAATCAGTTGTATAGGCCTATACATAATTTTCTGCCTCTTTTCATAGCTGTCACATGCTTTGATCAAGTGTATGGTTTTGGAAAATTTCGTGATCCGCCTGTGGTGGGAGACTGTGATAAAAATAACGTTGGCTTCAGAGAAGGAGAGTGTCAATCCAATGGCTTTTGGAAAACTGTAAAGGACAAATGTGTTCTTCGTATCATTGATGCACTGGAACAGGAATCAAAGGTTTGCTTTTCAGTTTTACTGCCTGCCATGTTGCTTATGTAACACCTCTGGTCTTACTCGACCCGCTCCATACAGGACTCGAACTGGCGGGTACGCTAACAAGTACACTAAAAACTGCAGTCTCTAGTATCAGTCGCTAGTGCGCCTCTTGAGATCAGGGGAGTGAGGTTTACACCCACAGCTCTTACTAGCTGGCCTCTGTTACACTTAAAAAGCACAAGAAGTCTATTACCCATGTATCACAATACCAGTTATTTGGTGTAAAATATTAGAGAAATACATACAGTTTTACTGAGGAAAAAAAATGTGTTGTGGAAAGTTTTTTCACTCAGAAATTGCTTGTACATTTTACAAATAATTACAAAGAATTGGCAAGTAACACATTGTTTTAAATGTGAGATTCTGAAGTAGAAAGACAAAATAGTATTTACTTGTAAAACTCCAATCATTGTTTTATTTAAAACGTTTTTTTAGTGTATCCAATTTTTGTAAATACTTGTATGTTGAGTAGATCTGAAAGATGAAATAGGGAAAGTGATATTTGTTCATGACACAATTATCGCTCAATCCAGGAATTCAGACTCCATTTGCAAAATACAGCAAACCCTTTTTTTTTGTTGCTTAAACCTTTATTTGTTTTCTTTTTCAAAAGGTTGTGGATACAGGAACTTTTACAGATTTTGTGATTAAATTGAAAAATGCCACCACAGTCAATAGCGGAGACGTAGTTCAATCTCAAGCTACTGTTTCGACAATTGTGGGAATACTAAACAATATTGCAGGCATCTCCCAAAATATTATGCTGGATGAAGTTGTGTTAACGGTAAGCTCAAATTTATTGCCGTTACTTTGTTACTTGCATGACTGTATTGCTGTAGTTCTATTTAGCCCACATACTAGTTGCCATGAGCTTTTAAAGAGGAAGTGTCTATGAATCTAGTATTTTTTATTTCATGCAGCTGTCTTTTTTTTTTTTAGAAGAGAAACTGCAAAAGCTAAAAAATAAGCCTAAAAATGACCTAAAAATATGTATTTTTAGGTCATCTAAATGGGATGCCTTTAACATTTTCCAATCTTACATCATTTATCTTCCAGAGTTTCCTCAATATCGTGGATGTCATTTCATCAGAGTCAGCGAAACTTGTGTGGGTAGGGTTAAATTCAAATGCCGGAAGCCAAGGCGACAGCTCTCAACTCCTGAATTCCATTGAAAATGTTATAAAAGCGACATCAGACACAAACTTCAACATAACGAGTCCATCCAACTCATTCCTGTTCAAAAAAGTAACAACATCCGTAGACTTTAGGGATGTATTGAAGCTCAACTCAACCGCTGAAATATTCATCCCAGATATTACATCCACTCGTAAAAATATTACCATCACAGCACTGGCCTTCTCTTCCTTGGGCAACGTTATGCCTGCAAGATATCGGACAGATAACCTAAATAAGACTGAAAATGTCATCAATGGACTCATTGTTGTAGTGAACACAAGCAAACCTATCAACAACATAGAGCTGAGCTTTGAAAAACGCAGTAATACAGTAGCTCATAACAATAATTCAGTAAAATTAGGGAACCCTCAATGTGCTTTCTGGGAATTTAACCTTTTTAATAGGACTGGAGGATGGGACTCAACAGGATGTAAGGTCATACTGATAAACGGCAATGTCACTTGTCGTTGTAATCACACCACTTCATTTTCAATATTGATGTCCCCTTATGCTCCTGAAGATCTCTCCTTGGCTGTCATTACGTACGTTGGTGTTGCCATTTCGATAGCCAGCTTGGTTGTGTGCCTGATCATCGAAACGATCATCTGGAAGGAAATATCCAGAAACTCGACGTCATATATCCGGCATGTATGCTTAGTCAATATTGCTCTTTCTCTCCTGATCGCTGACATATGCTTCATTATCGCGGCTGCTATCGCAAAGCCCGGGGAGGACTATATTAACTTGTGTAGCGCTGCAGTGTTTTTCACCCACTTCTTCTACCTGGCCCTCTTCTTCTGGATGATGGTCTCAGCCCTTCTGCTCCTCTACCGCACCATCATGGTGTTCTCTCAGATTTCCACATCGGTAATGATGGCGGTTGCCTTCATCGTGGGCTATGGCGCACCTCTCCTCATCTCGGTTATTACCGTCGCCTCCACCAGCGGAAGTCAAGAATACGTCACACAGAATGGGACATGCTGGCTGAACTGGGACATTTCCAGGAACCTTCTGGCTTTTGTCATACCAGCTCTGGTCATTGTGGTTGTCAACATTATTGTCGTGATTCTAGTCATGGTGAAAATGCTCAGGGGAAGACTAGGAGAGAGCAACAGAGGTGAAAAGAACATCTTGGTGGTCATTCTCAGAAGTGTGGCCATTTTGAGTCCCCTCTTCGGCATCACATGGGGTCTCGGATTGGGCATTATGATACAGCCTAAAGCTTTGGCCCTCCACTACTTGTTTACAATCTTCAACTCCTTCCAGGTATAATGGATCACTTAGATATACATCTTAAGAATCATTCATTTAAAGATATTCTTGGTTCAGTAGTGAAGCTCGATTATCTATCTAGTGTTGATTACCACAAAAATACATTTCAAGCTTACTGTGAGGCATGTACTGTGGAAGTGAATGGGCCAATCCATAGTTTCACTAGTGTAGACACAAGATGTAAACAATATGAGTGTTAAAGGGATAGTTTGCCCAAAAATGAACATTTTGTCATCACTTACTCACCCTCAAGTTGTTCCAAACTTGTTTGTGTTTCTTTCTTATGTTGAACACAAAAGAAGATATTTTAAAGAATGTTGGTAATCAAAGAGTTGACGGTAGCCATTGACTTCCATAGTAGTTAAAAAAAATACTATGGAAGTCAATAGAGCCCAGTAACTATCTGGTTACCATTTTTTTTATATATATATCTTTTGTGTTCAACTGAAGAAAGAAATTCATACAGGTTTGGAACAACTTGAGGGCGAGTAAGTGATGACAATTCAAATTTTTGGGTGAACTACCCCTTTAACACGATAGTGTGAAAGAATCTTTTGTGTGAAGTTATATCAAGGTTTACACCTTTGTTGACATGATAACATGACAATGCTGTAAACCCTAAAACAACTGCTAAAATTATTTAAACAACTTCAATCAAAAAAATTGGCATGCCTCCGTCCAATCACCAACCGATAGATTGAGTCCCCACCCTACATTTTTTTTCTATTTTCATACTTCATTACACTCAGATGTCGCTTCATTGCAACTTTAAAGAATTCAACATTATGCCACAAATGCTTGTACTGAACCTGGAATATTCCTTCAAAGAGTCATATATTTCACATTCAAACATTATTACAGTTTATTAGAAAAAAACAACAACTAACTGGTATGATCTGTTCACTAATTTCAGGGCTTCTTAATATTGGTCCTGGGATTACTGATGGAAAAGAAGGTAAGAGCTGAGTTTCTTGCTTTATGGGCTGTTCTTGACATTACGTTGTCGTTATTTGTTGTCTGAGACACTTTATTTTTTTCCCAAAAGGTTCGGGAGACACTTAAAGCGAGATTCACTAGACCCCGTGCCCTACATGTAAACACATTTTCCTCATTTGTTTCTTTCAAGTTTTTCATGCAAAAACGTTTATTGAAAACACAATGCCATCTTTCCTATCATAGAGCTTGGATGTCAACACCCACAGCAGTTCTTCCAACAGAACGACTCTCACAGATGTTTTCAACACCATTCTGAGAAGAGGCAGGAGTAAGTTGAATGTCAATGTTCTGCACTCTATGTTGATTTCTGGTGCATATTGCCTGAACTTTTATTGTAATGATCGTATGTTTTACAGATGCTGGGGCAAATATAAACTCCTCACACAGCCACGAAAGGTTTCTGAACGCTTAGCCGGACAGACAGACAGACAGACGGCTTAATTTCCTGTTCGAATGCTTCTCTATCGCTGTGCCTCAGGCACAACCTTGTTACTGAGAGTGTTTGATTTCTGTCTAGACTTCATTAACTATACATACAATCCCTTCCTGAATGCTACAACTTGAATATTCAGTACGTTTCTGTTTTCTATTGGTCAACCAGATTGGCCAAGTTAGATTAAAAACATCTATTTTTGATCTGTACACACAGTTTTATGAAAATGGAAATTCAATTCTGGTTTCTGTTTGAACACTGTTTAGTGTACCAACACTTTATCCTTCCTCTCTATTAAATCCATCAATGAATAACACTTGTTTCAAATGTCATTATTAGGGGTGCTTGCCAAATCAAGCATCCTGATTATTTTGGGGGAAATCTGATTTGAAAGTTTTTCTTTTTAGAAGAGAGAAAAACATTAATCCTACATAATGATTTTTTTATTAAACAATAAGGCATGCTTTTCATTTTTTCCCTCAAGGGACTCATGGCATGAAACTTCTCTATAATTCCAATTTGGTAACACTTTATAATAACTGCATGCTATGAATCATTAGTTAAGCATTAGTAAATAGTTAATTTATTATTTATAAAGAATTAATAGAAATTAATAAGCAGTTTATGAATACAGAATTTATAAGCATATATATATATATAATGCGTTTAATAATTTTCATACTTTATTAATTACCAATTTATAATTTTTAAATTATTACATTTGCAAACCTGTTGTTTAGGAGTTGTCAGTGGTTCATAAAATAATTTAGAAAGTGCAAGTAAATGATTAATAAACTATTTAAATGTACATTTATACATCTTATTATTTAGACTATTGTAATAGTTACTCAGTGTTGTTGGAAACTCAGAAGCGAAGACCAGGAGACTTCAGCAGGATTCTTTATTGAGAACAAGAGCTGTCGGTAGCTGCAGTCAAGTCTGACTAAAGCAGTATACATTGTAGTTTATATACATTCCGAGGGGGAGGGATTTACAGAGAGGTGGTATGTAAATGAAGTACACGAGTCAGCTCGCTTACAGAAATTTCCCCCGCCCTGATCTCATCAGCATAACAGTGTCATTCAAATGCATTGATGCTAATCCAATCAACCTAACCATTCAACGACCAGGCAAGGGGGCTCCAAGAGCCATTAAAGACAAAGAGTCTCAGTAATCTGATTCATTTAACTTACAATAGAGAGAACAGGACTGGCAGGAATCTCATGCTTAACAGCTATCATCATCCTCATCATAACCTTAAATGCTAAATTCAATTTACTCTACCTTAGTTTTTCATGTTATGCTATGTAAGGACATAAGATTAGTCGATCTTAAACAGATTCTTAAATTTTTAATCCCACTGTGTGTTAATAAATGCTTTATTAAAGGTGCTCTAAGCGATGTCACGCGTTTTTTAGGCCAAAACATTTTTTGTCACATACAGCAAACATCTCCTCACTAACCGCTGGCTGCCTGTCCCCTGAACACACTGTAAAGAAACGCGATCTCTGTAGACAGCCCAGGCTCCACAAACAGCAACAAAAACAAACTGGGCTAACCCGCTCCACGAAACATGACAAACAGTTCCAGCCAATCACCGACAAGAAGGACTTGGGGGCGGGGTTTTGGGGGTTAGTGCGCGGATGAGGAGGAGGGAGGGTCTAGCTAGCCGCCTTTTGTTTGACAATACTTTAAACGTCAACAAGAAGTGAAGTCACCCGACATCGCTTAGAATACCTTTAACACGTATTCCTGTAATTCATGATTAATTCAATTAGTTATAAAACATTTAGTAGTTGTCAGTTAACTCTTTTTGTGAGCTAATCTAAAGTGAGGACTATTTACTCAGAGGAGATGTAAAGGCTCGGATATCTTTTGCACTGCTGTTTTGACACCATGAAATATATTTATTGTTTTATATATATATATATATATATATATATGTATATATATATATATATATATATATATACATACACATGTTGTATTTTGGCACTCATGTAACGAATAGGCAGGGACGAAGCAGAGAGAGAATCCACATGCAAGCACTACTTTAATAATGCAAACAAAAATCCAGGGCAAACAAAGAAACTCAGGACAGGAACATGGAACAGCAAACAGCAATAAGTAAGGGATAATCCACGGCTTGCCATGCATTAAAGGATTTTAATGCACGACGTAGAGGCGAAGAAGGTCGTGCATTAAAATCCTTTAATGCATGGCTAGCCGTGGATTATCCCGCTTATACCTCGGTTATTTGCCAAGTTAATAAGAAGTTAAAGCTGTAACTGATGTTTACAATGTAATTTTTTAACAGACGTGTAAAATGACGGTTATTTTCTTAAGTTACGGCTCGTTAGTTCTAGCACTCAGTCCGCTTAAAATAAAGTAGAGCCATCGGATTGCTTTTATTTGAATGAATTATCACATTTATTTAAATTCATTATTAAAAGAGAGAGACAGAGAACTGAAAGACAAGAAAGAGAGAGAGAGAGACAGAGAACTGAAAGACAAGAAAGAGAGAGAGAGAGACAGAGAACTGAAAGAGAAGAGAGAGAGAGAGAGAGAGAGAGAGAGAGAGAGAGAGAGAGAGAGAGAGAGAGAGAGAGAGAGAGAGAGAGAGAGAGAGAGAGAGAGAGAGAGAGAGAGAGAGAGAGAGAGAGAGAGAGAGAGAGAGAGAGAGAGAGAGAGAGAGAGAGAGAGAGAGATGCGTGCGCGAGTTACCTATGAGCGTCTCTTCTTTAAAGTCTACAGTCCCCTCGTTGCTTAAGCATAGGCCTATATAGCTAACTTAATGATTCATGGATTTATTAAAATTATTTATGAATGAAAGGCAACACTGACAGTGACAAGGAAAGCTTTATTTGAACTAATCATGTCATTTATTTAAATGAATTAGCTGTATGTCAAACCAAACTTTTCTTACGCGGATGATGAACGCTGGTGTCTTTTCCATTTTTCCTGTAGCGCCTTAAAACTGATTTAAAGGCGGCATTGCTTGACTTGAAGTCTTTATCCCTTATGATGTTGTATTTTGTAATGTGACGGTTTATAGCCTACCTGCTCTGAGACGCATCAAACTTGCAACACTGTATTCGCGTCCAGCGGTAGACTGAACAGAGGCATAAAACTCCCGAAATGTCTCATTTAAAAGAGAAGCAGAGTAACGTTAGGTTTCGAAATCACAATTGTTCTGTCTTTGGCGCAACAAGTCCCTGAAATTGTTAACTGCCCATTTAGTTGTCTTTTTCGTATTGACCTAATTTTTGTCGATGGGTAAACCATTTGTTTAACTAATGATTCATAGCATGCGGTTATTGTAAATTGTTGCCCACAATGTTTGAGTTTAACGTGAATAATGCTTGAGCAGAGTTTAGAAACTTAATCTCTACATTAATACAACAGTAATTTCAAACAAAATACATTTGCATTCATTTTTTTTATTTTTGGGAGTAAATTTTATACAAATCTGTCAATAAATAAACATGTTATACAAATACATTATGGTTTACATATTATATTTAGCAGTATCTGCTTATAGTTGTGAAATAAATAGCCTACCTATGTGCGCTTACACAGTACATTCATTACTGAGGCAACGTATGACATTTTCTTATGGATAAACAGAAATTCATCTGATTAATAGTTCTACATGCAGTTTCTTTTAACCATTTTAAATAAAAGTAAATGATAACCAATGTTACAGTGCCCATGTTATAGTACAATTACAAGTATCGAGTAGCACGCGTGTAATTAATATTAAATTGCTTTGTTGAACAACCTGCATTTTCCAACTGTGATTGCTATTAATAAGTCGTATCATGGAGAACGTTACGTTTCACACTGTTTATTTGCCGTTCTCGCTCTGTCCTCTAGAGGGAGCTGTGCCTCTATGTCAGTCTGATTTGTCTTGCTTGAAGAGTTTCGTCCTTCTTCCGGTCTTGGTACCAAATTTAAGAGCATTAATCATATCTAGCTAGCTCAATAAATTAAACAGAGTTCTCAGAGCCATAGTTCTTGTAGGGTGGAGATGACTTTCGACACCTGTGAGGTACAAGAACATAATATTTAATCATCATTCATACAGTGAATGGCAATGCGCTATAGTTACGTAATAATATTGCAAATAAACAACGCTTTTGTTATTTGTATGATACAAGACTAAAGGCTGTATTCCGGATTTTACCTTTTCCGTATGCAGAAGTACATCAGTCCAATGATGGCTCCCAGTAATAAAACTACACCACAGCTAATTCCAATGAGTTCTTCAGGACTTGAAAACGTGTGGCTGTCCAAAAGTAAATGTTCACAGCGCACACCACTGTACATCTTGTTGCACCTAAAGACAGTGAAAATCATGTTTGTCAGGAAGGTCTCAGGATGTAGGAATCATTTTGAACAGTATAAAATGGGCTTGTTGACTAGAATTATTGTCCTCACACTAAAAAAAAGAAGCAAATTTTACTTTAAAACAGTTCAAAAGAAATAGCAAGTAACACTGAAATAGTATTTTATTGTAAACATACACCAATGATCTGCTTTATTTACATAACAGCAGTATGTTGATTCTTAGTATAAAAAGAAAATTTGGGTGGGACATATCCAAAGGAACATTCCATTTTGTAATCTACAAGGCTGTATTTACATCACAGCCACAACCCAAGCTTTGCAACTTGCTAGTTTGCTAATTAAACAAACATAAACCAGAAAATCAAGGGTTCAAATTGATGTGGTCTTTAATGTATGATTATAGATGAGCTGATTTTGGTGGCTGGTCTCACCGGCAGATGGGGGTTTCCAGTTCGGTGGAGTAGGAACACACACCATTGAAACAGAATCCCTCATGTTCTGCACTGCAGGGCGTTTGAATAGCCAAAACCCGTGGTTGCTCTTCACTACCTACTGATAGACACACACACACACACACACAGACAGTTTTACTGGATACACGTGAAAGGATTGTGAGTTTAACTGATAGGTATTTAGACTTGTGTCCACATGCCAAAGAACCTGCATCTTGGCACAATGCACATTTAAATGACATGTTTGCATATTTCATACACTAAAGTTCTGATATGAGATTAAATAACAGTCTTTTGAACAATTTAGCACCTGAAATATTAAGAACGACTACACAAGCATTAATATATAAAATGTCTTTTAATAATATTTCACAATATTACTGTTTTTACTTGGACTTCTTTCCAAAAACATTTATGGTATCATTTTACAATATGGCTCATTACACGAACTAAGAATGAACAATACTTCTTAAGCATTTATTAATCTTAGTTAATATTATATGAGAAAACTATGAACAGCTGTATTTTTATTAACAAAGACTAATAAACACTGTAACAAATGTATTGCTCATTTTTAGTTCATGTTAGTTAATATATATCAACTAATGAACCTTAAAGTGTTACCACATTGATATAATCTTTTTAGGGGTACTTACCACCATGTGTTGTGTTGTATTGGAGCACATCATCTGAAATCTCCTTAGTGTCTCCAAGTCCAGAGAAGAGGACTAACACCATCAATCCAAGTACTGGTGGAGTATTAACAATACATTAAAGTTACTATAAATGTCACCTTTATTGTCTTTAGAAAACAATACATTTGTTGTAAGATCCTAAAAAGTATGTTCGGACTCACCCTGATAGTGCAAACCCCTTTTATCCACTTGTGTCATGCTGTGGCCCAAGTACTGATTCGATCTGACTGGAGATTCTGGGTCTGCTCGGCTTTCGTCAAACTTCTGCTGCTCTCCGGGTGAAAGGTTTTTCCTCACAATTTATATCATCCTTATCCCTTTGTTCGTCACTAATGGTAGCCAATCATTTGAACAGGTTACAGGAAGTACAGAGAATGCTGACTCTTTTAGGCATACCTGTATTGCTCTGCATCACTTCCTTGTCCACAGGCAAGCAGCGTGCACAGACATGTTTTTGGTTTTATCTTTTTTTTCTTTCAGTGACTAAAATATTTGCCAGCAGCTGCAAAAACAGACTCTTACTTACTGGCACAAGAGATATTAAAGACAAGTCTAATAACAGATACAAAGTATTATTTTAAGTGTTAAATCTGTTTTACTGACTGTCATGTTCCATTACCCTCGTGAACCATAATAAATAGCCAGGGGTATTCCAAAAGTACTGCATCCCATTTTACAAGTTTTTTCCGAGTGTTACTTTTTTATTATTAATTATAATTAGTAATTCGTTCATTTTTTATCTTTCTAAACACTACATTCTACATTATATTTGACTGTTACTGGTAATAATTAGACATATTTAGCTGTTGGACGCACAAAATTGGCAAGACCCTTGAGACCCTTGAAAATGTTTGACCATTTTTTTTTTTAATGAAAAGCAGTCATTTGTTATTTTAAAGGATTAATGTAGGAGGACACAATTTAGCAATGATTAAACAAATATTTTAATGATTTTAGAAGATAATCAAGAGTAACTTCCGTCTAACCAGCAAATTGAACGTTACGTGTCACACTGTTTACGTGTAACACTAAATTAGATTTCTCTAACTTCTAATCAAATAAAACAAAAACTATAATTAGATGAGGATTTGATATGTGTGACATTATCCATCGCAATGTTTTCACACACAAAAAAAGTGTTCACCCTATTGTTCATCTTTCAGGTTACACTTTAAAGGGAAAGTGACAATTATATCATCATTTACTCACCCCTATGTCCATCAAAACCTTCTTTCTTCTGCAGAACACAAAAGATATTTTGAAGGATGTTGGTAACCAAACCATTTTTTTGTAATTGGCTTCCATTTTGTGGACAAACCAAAATATCTTATTTTTAGCCAGTTTCACAGAGAATAGTCTCTATTGTCCCAGACTAAAATGCATGTTTGACCTGTTTTAACTGAAAGCAACTTGCACTGGCATATCTTGAAATATATCAGTGCCATTGTTTTGTCTCAAGATGCACATCAGTAGTTTTTTTTTTTTCTAAGGCACGTTTTAAAAAAGCTACTTAAATGCCCAAACTGAACTAAAGCCCAATCGTGGCTTAATCTAAGATCTGTCTGAGAAACTGGGCCTTTATGTTCTACAGATACAGGTTCTACAGATACAGATACGAGTCATACAGGTTTGAAACAACCTAAGTGTGAGGAAATGATGACATAAATGTCATTTTGGGGTGAACTATCCCTAGACTTTCCAAGCTACAAGAACAGTTTCAGTAACACTTTGTTTTAATGGTCCACTTTAGAGATTCTAGCTATAAGTAACTTTGCAACTACTTGTCATCTGATTCTACTAACTCAAACCTAACAGTCTAATACTCTAATGAGAGTTAGTTGACATGTATAGTTGAAAACTTGGCACAAACTACTTTGACATTACTTTAAATCAGGGCTGTCAAATGATTAATCGTGATTAATCACATCCAAAATTAAAGTTTTTTTTACATAATATATGTGGGTGCACTGTGTATAATTATTTTATATATATAAATACACACACATGCTTGTATATATTTAAGAAATATTTTCATGTATATACTGTATATAGATTTATATATCATTTATATTATATAAATATAAATATTTTATATATAAATAATATATTTTTCTTAAATATACATGCATGTGTGTGTATTTATATATATACAAAATAATTATACACAGTGCACCCACATATATTATGTAAAAAAAAACTTTTATTTTGGATGTGATTAATCACTATTAATCATTTGACAGCCCTACTTTAAATGCATTTTTATGTTTCACAGCCTTTTTATAGGGCAAAACATGTCCACCTTATAAATGTTATAGGGAAGCATCAGATATATTTAATTCAATGTTTTGTTTTATTGGCAGTCTGGATGTAAAGGATCCAAAATGCACAAAAAAGAATAATAATAAAGAAACTGTTTGATGACAAGAACATGCCATAAATAAAGAAATAAAATAATATTACATATTTGATGGCGATAAAAATGATAAATACGAGCTATATATACAAAAACACCCATTTCTGCATAATAAACAATATGTATAAATAATACCTTATATTAGGTAGATGAATAAATGCATATTAAATACAGCAGCATCCTTTTGTTATTTTTTGCCATTTTCTTGTTCTGAATTCAAATGACATTGTTAAAATAATTTCCTGAGAAAACGTGTTAATATCCTTTAATACCCCACGTCTCCCTCAGTGTGGACAGATTCATCTGTGGGATATCTGAGAACCATCTATTACCCTGCCATGAGGCCACCTGTTGAGCAGCCGATCAAGTGCTACCAAAACTCTAAAAGACATCCGTCTCCACTGATGCATAGTCGGGGAGGTAATATTACACAAGCACGATAAAACCCATTTTTCTCGGCAAAATAATAACACTGTAGCAAGGGGAACGGCGAGGAGGCATCTCTCTAATCTTTCCAGAGGTAAGAAAAGAATTAGGGTGTAGTTCGTGTCATAGACATGCATGGCTGCCGAGCCAGCTAGAAGAGCCTGTTACAGCTTGCGGATGGGTAGGGAAGGAAGTTGTAGGGGAAGCTTGCAGGGGCTTGTGTTTATAATCAAGACATGGACAAATAGTGCCAATTAAAGTATCTAGACGGTGAAGTGCTTGCATCTTGTCCACCTATGATAGGTTTTGTGTGTGCTCAGTATGTTGGGGCGTTTTTGGCAGCTGTGACTGTGTTTTTCATCACCATGGCTATGGTCATTGGGCCGACTCCTCCAGGCACAGGAGTGATGAATCCAGCCTTCTCCTTCACAGCTGATTAGAGAGACAAAAAACAAACCACGTCTTAAATAACACTGACAACTCTGCCTGAGCCAAGTATTTCTTTTAAACTTCTAGAGAATAAACTATAAATCGCGTTGCTAAGCGAATACTGTAGCCAACGAGCACACAATGAACTCGAAACAGAGCCTAGAGGGATTGAGAAATGATATTAGATACATCGAATGACGTTCATACAGAATCCTTCTTAATTTTAAAGGAATAAATCACTCAAAAAAAATGATCGAAATTCTGTCATTCCATTTCTAAGCCCATTTGACTTTCTCACTTCCTTTTGAAGAAAGCTTTGTGTGAGGAAAAGTCTGAATTATTAATTGTTATTGACAGCAAACCTTGACATCCACCATAAGTCCAATTTATGGACAAATCCTTTTATATCAGATCTTTCCAATAAATCGTCTGACTCACGGGTCACAAAATTTGAATGGTTCAAATCTCACCTATTTCCTTCACTTCAGGTGAAGACAGGTATGTACTATTTCACATGAAGCCACATACACAATACTAAAAAAGGGTGTGCTCGCTTAGGCAGTTAGGTGATTTTAAGTTTTACTTTTTTTTATCTTTTATCTCTGAAATGTGTCACTTTGGTTTTCATTGGCATTGCATAGCTTGTCATATTTACGTTAAAGGGGTCATGAACTGGAAGGGTTTTTTATTTTTATTTTATAATATTCTCTAAGGTCCACTTATGATGTTATCATATTTTTTTTACAACATAATTTAGTAATAGTAAATATAGCTATTTAAAAATAGCTATTTTCTATCCTGTTTTTGCCCCCGTCTTTCAAACACTCCGTTTTGATGTGTGTGCCGAATTTTCAACGTTCCCGCCATTACACGTGTGTAATTGTTCTGAAAACTTAGTTACGATGTTCAAAAAACATCTCGTTGCATAGTTGAAACATTTGTCAACAATGTGAAACATTTATTTGTAGTACATATTATGCACATGACACGTGCCTTATAAGTTGTGGCAAAAAAATTTCAAGTATAGCCCACTTAGAGTTACTACAGTTATTGACAAATGATAACTTACAGTGTATTGTATAAACGGAATTATGAATGAATGTACCAATATTTTTCACACTGTCATTCTTATAGGCTATACATCGCCATTTCCAGTCTCGTGTAATGAAACATGTTGTAATGTCTTACTGATGACAAAACAGGAGATGTCGCTCACTGAAGCTTTTATTCAGGAATACAGCGAACGGCTTCGATCAAAATAATTTTTAAAAAGCAGCATCCTCTATGTGCTTTCTTCCGTATCCGATAATCCAATGCATTAACCCAATAAATGCAGCAGAAAAGGAAAGAACAGCAAATCCCACAACTATTCTGTTTAACTGTGGCGCTACAGTATAAATACTCAGTACAGAATCGTAACAGACAAAGCAATAGTGACACATGGTTGAAAATAAACAGTTACTCACACTTGTGTGTTGCGACATTACTATCGGATTCAATGTAATCGTCGACTCATCGCTGCGATTTCATCTTATGAAAAGCCTGCGTCGAACCGTCTTTGTTTAAAAGTAATCTGACAGGAACTTCATTAAAAATATAGTTCGTCTATGCTTTTCTTAATGTTAGGATCACAAGGATGGCAATGCAAAGACTGTTTTTCCACAACTTGGCCACTTCAAAACGTCTTGTAATCCTCAGCGGCATCTCTATGGTTTTGTTGCTGGAGTAATCCTGTGTTTGAATCTGTCTTGTATTTACTACTACATGACGTGCGTGAATAAGTGGGCGGGGCTAAAGAGGCAATGATGTAGAAGTAAGCGTTAATCTTCTTCTGCAGAAGCCGTCTTTCATCGCACTATGACGTAATAATGTGACAAAATCCGAAACGAGCCGTTTTCTGAGCTTTGTTTTTGGACTAATGAAGAAGTTTGGAGTTCTGAAACTTAGGCTACTTAATATTTTTTATTGTACAATGACCTCTTATTTGTCAAAAGATCAAGGAAAATTTGATTCCGCAATTCATGACCCCTTTAAAGTTGCAAAGGTTCTGATATGATTTATCGAGTTCGTTTTTACATCACAAAAAAACAGCTGTTTTAACAGGGGTGTGTAGACTTTTTAAATCCACTGTAACTGAAAAAAAATAAGTTGAAATACTAAAATGACTTAAACTAAAATAAGAATCAATTAAAGATAAATAGAAATATTAAATTAAAATGACAAAAGCACATAACAAAATGACAAAAATATTAATGCTATAATAGTATTTAAATAATTCTAAGAAAAAAATGGAACCAAATTCTAAAGCAGTCATGTGTCATATACCTTCAAAATCCACATCCCCAACAAGACGAAGTTTACCAGTGACAGGGTCCTGCATGCGGTTGATGCCAACATCAATAACCGCAGCTCCTTCTTTTACCATATCTGCCGTTATTAAGTGAGGAACACCTGTTGTTACAAATTTAAATAGGCTGTTCAAAAAGAAACATTCTCTAAAGTACACAATATTTTCTTTATCTTATTAAAATATTAATATTTATACATAGCCTACATTTCTGAATAAAATACAGATCATGTTCAAACTCATTCCAACCTCATTGGTTTTGTATTTCTATAAAAATAAGTGCACATCTGACTTAATGTTACATAACCAAAGTCTAAGCAAGGGATAATATAGTCAGCTAGTCATTATTACAAAATGAACGACAACAAAGTACAGTTCTTATCTTATCCTGAAGGCGTTTATTTTGAGATAATGACCAGCTTAAAGTGCATTATCCCACTTATTACACGACTACTAACTAACTAAATAAATACATAGATGTAATAATAAACTAACAAATTAAAAAGTTTAGTAGTAATTACTATTACACAAAGATTTCTGACCGCAGAATGCAGCTATTGACCAATAAGAATCAAGTATTCTAGATGGCCGTGCAATATTACAAAAAAACCTGACCTGCAGCCGCAATCACAATGTCAGCCAGACTGGCAAGTTCCTTCAGTCGTGGTAGAGGAGTGCATCTGTGAGCCATGATAACTGTGGCATCACCTGGGAGATATATACACATCAGAATTATTTCATCATTGAATGCACTGTAGTAGGCCTTAATGTGAACATCATAATTGTGAATGTAGGCTTTGTTTCCTGTACATCATTCGTGTATATGTATTAGGCAAATCATTAAAAGTGCAGTCCATTTTTCCACATTAAAGTGCCCCTATGATCCTATTTTAAAGGTTCCTAATTTTGTTTTAAAAGTGTCTCTTACAATAGATTTATATGCATGAAAGGTAAAAAAAAACAACAACAACAAAACATCATCTTATTTCTCAAAGAGTCTGAAACCGGGTTGTTAGAAGATTCAGTCTCTTTAAACCCCTCCTTTCCACGGGCCTACACTGCTCTGATTGGTCAAATGGCCCAGTCCTATAGCCATTGAAGACCATAGGCTGCCACTATGCAAATCTCTTCCATTGTTACATAGGTATGTAACAGGAAGTGAGACTGGAATTGCTGATGACTCATATCGGCAGTTCAGAATAGATTCTTCTTTTTAAGAGACAATAACTTTAGTGTTCATGCACTTTGATCTTTAAAACTTTGCAGACCTTTTAACATTCACAAACAGCTATGTTACACACAGCATGAAAGGTAGGCCTAATATTTGAAGAAGAAAAAAACATAATAGGGGCACTTTAATATGTAAAAATCTTCCTAATAAAAGCTGTTTTATTTTAAATGGAGTTGATCATGGCGTGACTAGTACAATACTAATCACTTTACTTTATCTCAGCAAACCCCTGTTATTAAAAATCAGATTTCACTAGTAAATACTACTTTCACTAGTTAAATACAGTAGTTATGATCTGAAATCTGACTGCCGTGCACATCATTCCACCTATATCTAAAATCAATGTTTTAAACATTTCATTGGCATTTAATTATGTGCAGGCACCAGGAAATTCATACCACTTCAAATGTTTTGGTTCATGACACATATTCGGTTAAAAAAAAATGTAAATGGTGGGTGGTTTCTGTCCACCAGCAAGATTACGAAATTCCTAAGCAGACATTCCCAGAATGCGTAACTGTATATTACCACATAAACCAAAAGCTTTGAAATTTGGCTGATTGCAGGTTTCATTCTGTGGAATTGACTACTGTGTGCAAATCATCTTATACTGTATAACTACAATCTTAATTATAATGCAACGGTCATCACTGTCACAGGACTCATCTGCTCAAAAAAAAAGTTTTTCAGGTAATCACAATTTCACTTTTTTACTTGTAAGGCTGAGTCACACATAAAAAGGAAGCAAAACTTATTCAGGGCTGCTTCTCTGATTGTGTAAAGAATTTCTTACATGTTAGAGCACAAACCTACAATCAAAATGATTGATTTCCCAACTCATTTGAAGCATACCTTGCATTTCACCTGTTGAAATCATCTTACACAAACATAACCTTAATCTTTGATATCTAAATAAACGATTGCCTTCTAGCAATTATACAGTTCCAGACAGAAAAAAAAGGATCTCCTCTCCTTTTCCTTTATTCCAAGAAGCATTATTTTAAAAATGTTAAAACTTTAAACACCACTTGAGTTTAAACCTGAACTGACCATGTTATTGGAGATATGCCAATGTAAGTGATGATGCAATATAAAAAAAAATTCTATGTAAAATCTATTTTTTTAAACTACTCAAAACTATTAAAGCATAAATATCTAAAATATTTTAATCATTGTTTAGTACAATGCATTGCAAAATAATAGACATTTAAAAAAAAACGGTCTGTACACTTACAGATTGTAAACTAGCGATTTCTTTTTACTTATTACATGCCCCCATTACTAGCGTTATACGCTAAACAGTTTTTAGAGATAAAACTCTTTACATTCGATTATCATGAAAACAAATCTCAGAGAACGGTTGACTAGGTACCAATGTTTTATTAGACCAAAGGTTCATTTTGCGCCGGAGTTCTCCTTTAAGTTTACGCCTACTCAAACCAATTAATTATTTTGAGCATTAGGGTTTACAGAACTAACTACAAATATATTTTACAGCATTTATTAACCTTTGTTAATGTTAGTTAATAAAAACACAATTCTTCTGTGTTTGTTCATGTAAATTCATGGTTCATTAACTATTAACAGACACAATTGTTAATAGATACTAATGTTAACAAATTAAACCTTAGTGTAAATCTAGTTTATATAATATATTATATAACTAGATAGTTAAGCATGAACGCCGGTTAGTTTTCTATTAATGCATGAGAAGGTTATTACAGGTTACTGGTAAAATGTCAACATTTATTTTTGATAGTAATGATGTGACTGCTTGCATCACCAGCGGCGACATCCAGGGTTCATTCTGTGAATTTGTCATTTGCAAGGATCTCACTCCCCTTCAACAAGCAAGGTGACTGGGTTGTTGGTTTATTGATCGAAATTCTGAAAATGTGCCTTTTGAAATCGTCACAATGACAAAACAGCTAAATAAAAAAACACCATTTTGCTTTTCGCAGAATGATCAGTTCTGTTCTCTGAATGATCAGTGTTTGCAGTAACTACTTGTACTTTCAAACCCAGCATGGTTGATAAATAACAATGCTACAGTCTAGTCATAAAATCTAGCTTTGAAAAAAAAAATCTCATTGCAACTGGGGCATCTAGAGCTTTCTTTTGCAGCCTTATATTTGGGAAATGTAATTATTGGTGTAATTTATTTAACTTAAAAGTTCATGAATCTTGTAACAAGAAAAATTATTGTTTGTCAGGTTATCATTAAAGCCGGCATGAAATGAAAGTTGGTGCAGGGTGCGTTTCAATCAGCTCACTATCTTCCCTAAGTGGTTAATGAATTTGAGCACTGGTAAGGAGAGTAAGGACCCTTGCTCTCTACACATTAGGACACTGATGACTCTATTTCCAGCGACGTGACAACGTCCTTATTGTCACTAGTACTGGCATTATGAACATATCTATGAACTGATGTCTTTCTGACATTATGTTTTATGTTATTTAAAGCACTGATAAATACTTTGCTTTTTACATATACGTGCAACATTTCAGCCGTAAATAAATTATAAATGTTAGCTAGATTATGTTCATTACCTGTCTATCGACTTATGTTTATGCTGGTTTGTATTTTTAAAAAAAAACATCTATTGCTTGTCATTATGTGTGGTGAGTTGGCTCACGTGTTTTACACTTCAGAACTTGCGTTAAGGGAACATAGTGAGCATCGATGCTCCCTGGTTTTCATGGTGCATTGTGGGACTTTTTAGGAGGTGAACGATTTAGTCCTCAAAGTAACTGACTCCCTGATCAGTGCCCTAACTACTGAGCTTGGGAGTTGATTGAGACGCACCCATAGTCTTTCTTGCCTATTGTGCCATATATCCAAGTGCAATGGCTTCTTGAACAAGAAAAACTGTAGGGCAAGATTTTGTCCATCAGGAATTGATTGGATCTTTGGATTATTGCAGTTTGCCATTGCTGTGATCTCATGTGAGTGACAGGTTGTCCCGGCCTCATACCAGTAAACACATCATCAGACAAGAGAAGAGAAGAGAAGAGAAGAGAAGAGAAGAGAAGAGAAGAGAAGAGAAGAGAAGAGAAGAGAAGAGAAGAGAAGAGAAGAGAAGAGAAGAGAAGAGAAGAGAAGAGAAGTTGTTGCAAGAGGCAGGGGAAGTTATTTTGATTAAAGATTATGAGGACACATGACTTTAATAATAATAATAATGTGCACAGATAAATAATTTATAATAACTACTGCAATATTCCATAAAAAAAAAATTATATATTGATTTCATGGTGACTAAGTATCATGGAATATGAATTGTAGGATGCTACTTGCCGCTTCAAAACTGCAAGTACAATTCAAGAGTGTGTGTGTCCACGGCACATGTATTTATAAACTCATAGGAAAACAACAATAAAAAATACCTGTTTATCTGCAGGCAATTACAAAATAAAAATATGGAAATGACACTAATCTCACCTCCCGGCCGTTCATGGTTTCTATCCGAATGCAGAAGCATTGCAATAGGCATTCCTACATTCTTGGAGCGTCCAACAACAAGCACATTTCTTCCAACTGTTTCAATGCCTGAACAAAAAAAAAAAAGACATAGAATTTGAGTAAACATTATTAACTTACTTTTCACAAATGCCCATGTCATGTAAAACCCTAAAAATACAGATACAATTGCAAAACAATATTTTCTAACGTGTAAGTAATATAAACGGACATCAGGTACTGTTTTTACACCTGCTGCTAACTAATGTAATCATATACAGCCCAATAACATCTCTGCTAGGGATGCAATATGAGAGGGCTGAGAAACTGACTGTATTTACATCTTGAAGAAAATCTGAATCTCAATTCTGTGAAAGCTGACCCGTTCTTCTGATGATTTCCCACACTGCCGCTGCTGTGGCTGGCACCATGCACCTCTGGTCCAAGCAGAGTTTCCCAATGTTTACTATGTGGAATCCATCAACATCCTTTTCAGGGGCAACAGCATTGCATATGGCTCTCTCGTTGATGTGCTCTGACAGAGATACATTCAAGAAATTTATTACAATTGCAAATCCGAACCAGATAAATTCAGCATGCTGTTTTTATTATACCAAAGGAAATAACTGTAACGTTTTTGGAAAAGCAACACGCACGGATAGACTTTAATAACACAACACTTTACATAAGATAATAACCGACAAGGGACTAAACAAAACAGGGAGTTTAAATACAAGACGAACTAAATGACTGACAGGTGATGATCATACGTAACATAGAAACAAACGAGGACTTAATCAGTAACCAAAACAGAACGGAGCAGAGAAATAGGAACTAAACAAATCACAACAATATACCAAAATAAGAGTCCTAGTCCATGACAATAACTGTAGCACTTTCACCATTAGTTTTTGTTTGTTTATAATAACTGAACAATTATTTATCATTAGCAGTTTCACATAATACCTGGAAGAGGGAGTTGAACCAGCAACCCACTGATGCTTTTTTCTCTGTTGAATTTGTCAATCAATTCCAACATCTCATCCTGAGATACTGATGATGGCCTGGAGATTGTACTGCTTGACATGCCTTTTAAACAAGTACCATTAGTATGGAAGAAAATTAATGGCAAATGTATTTGAAAGAAAAAAGCTTGTTGAATTGCACAAAAAAAAAATGCATTGAATTACCCGAGCTTGCATTTGAATGCACCCTAATATGAATGCACCTTAAACACTCTCGGTCTTCCGCACTTTCGTAAAATAAACTGTTTAATCATAAACTGTGATAATCATCACATATACTTACCGTTTGAGTCATTTCAGAGAATGTCTAATAGGAGAGAACTGGCACTCTTTGGTTACTTCCGGGTTCTGAACTGGCTGCAGTAACACGTCTCTGTCCATGCGGGGGCGCTCGCGGGCGAGTGCAGAATGAATGGGAGTCTATGGAGTTTCACCCCCAGAAATCCACTTTTCTCAGGATGTAATTTTTTGTCAAGTAACCTGAAAGTTGCATTCAAAAGGGGGGACTAAGATAATACACTGAGCTGAAAACTGCATTTTTAAGTTCACTTATCTGTTCTAAAAATCCGTTCAAAAATGTGATGACGTCACATAATAGCAGAATGCTAGCGTGTTTCGGCCAACAACGGCCCAACCTGTAAGAAATCGAAAGGACATAAGTACTCATTTATTCGACTTTTGGTCTATAATCTATATTGAACTTGTGGAATCAACAATAAAATCTATGTTGATTCAACGACAAGCAGGAGAAAGAGATACATTTAGCCGTCTAGCCCCATAGACTCCCATTCATTCTGCACTCGCCCGCGATCACCTCCAGTGGAATTCTAATGGAACTGCAACCAATATGATACACAATGGGGCTAATAGGAAGTGCCAAGGCTTTCCGTAGACGGGCTTTGGTCATTTCTGTAAATCCTTTTTTGTAAATGAATGACTCTCTCTAACTGTTGCTTTGGTCTTCGTCAACATGTGCGCCACCTGCTGGTGAGATGGACTAACAGCAGATGGAGTTCATGCATCTGTACTCTACTGCTATACCTGCTGTTCCCGGATGTGCAATGCTGAATTTTCTGTCGAGTTTGAACCACTGAATTTCTGGAAGTGAATTTGTAAAAGCGAAATAAAATGGAAATGGAAAATTAATGCAAATGAAATCTGAAAGGTGAATATGGATTATTGAATTTTTTATAATGAAAATGTGTGTGAAATATTTTGAATTGAATATACGACCCAGTTGAATTTCAGCCCATAAAAATGCAATGCCTATTTTTATCAATAAGTGCAATTCAACAAGCATTTTGTTTCAAACAACTTTGGCATTCATTTTCTTCCATACATTTGAAAAAGACATTAGTGAAAATATGCATCATATTGTAATGTAAAATCACAGTGACTTCATGTAACATTCTATTTTCAAACATCCAAAATTAACATAAGCGTAAATGCAGATAAAGTTGTCTACTTTTGAAAGCACTCAAATTTTTTTAATCAGTGGTTCTCAAACTTTTTGACTCAATATTTTTTAGTCATTTTTAAGATGTGGCTGCAAGAGGGAGGGGGGGGGGGGGTATTTTAAGTATGAGGGCACATGAATTGTAAAAAATAATGATGTGCAGTTGAGCACGGATAAATCATTTGTGATAAATATTGCCTTATATAAGACTTATTGGGGCCTCCCCCTCCTGTAAATTTGACAGGCCCACTTGTCCCGTGTTGAGAACCACTGCTTTAAAATGCTGAAGTTTACGCTGACTTTGTGTTTTGCTCACCAAGCAGTGAAGCCGTCCGGGTTTTGTTTCTCACATAAGTGTGGCTGGCGTGATCATTTCCCACCAGGATAACACTCAGATGGGGTCTCCTGTTGCCTTGGGCCACTAGTTTTGCTATATCACTCTGGATTTCTTTATGGATATGCCGAGCAAGTTCTGTCCCTGAGACCACAGTGGCAACATATCTATGTGACAAACATAACATATGTAACAACAATACACCGCGCAAGACATATGGAAGAGGTATCCACTAAATTAAACCAGTTATAATGCATGATCCAAATGTATTTAAAAACCTGCTTGAGTATCCGTAGACAGTGTCTATGACACCCACATGGTGGCGGAATATTCAAACGTACGAAATGTATTTGCCGAATGAATGACCCTTCTGAAACAATGACTATATGCCCTGTGTGCCCTGTTTGTATGGATACAGGCTAAACAAAAACATGTTATGTGCTGCTCGGTAAGAAAACACGCGTGCTTTGTTTATAAACGCATGCAACCTTTGTATATCTGAACCAGGGGGGAAATACAGTCCTAACCTTTTCAGTGACTGACAAAAAGGGCTTCTCCGGTTGACTGTTTTCAGGTTAATCCATCGTTTTGATCGCCGACAATGCTGAAAATATGATGTTAAAGTCTGTATTCTAATATAATTTACTGTTAATGCAGTGGGAGCTGCCATAGTAACTGATCACCTGCTCCTCCTCACAGCTCGCGCGTCTCGACGCGTCACACTAACAACAAAACGATTTCCGGTTCTGTGTTAAACATGTAAAACGTCTGCAAAACCCAATTAATGCTTGTGTTACTTTGTGATATAAAACTCAAAATAATATCAAAATAATTATTTAATGAATGCACATCTATAAACCAACCAGGAAATTTCGTAAAATCGGATTTAAAAGAGGGCACAGATCTTTACACAGTCAGAGCAGACAGAAAGCCAGCCATGTGATATAAAGATCGTGTATATAAAAATCCTTATTTCTTTTTAAAGATTAGAATATATTCGGAATATATTCTAACCCAAAGTGATAAAGTTTTAAGTCAAGTTTTGTTTTGTAGATTATTTCAGTCTTAAATTAGATTATTTAGCCAAATAATTTAAATTTATAGAACCTCGTTTATATCTAGGCTATATGCTATATTACATCTATGGGTTTTCAATATTTTAATCATTTGCGTGACATAGAGTTCACAATTTTAAAATTCTCCCATATTTCCAAGTTTTCCATGACTGTGTGAAACTATAATTTTACCGAAAGTTTAACTCTTTTCTTTTGCTGTCCTTTAGGAAATGCAAATCTGGATTGTATTATGTGTTGAAACTCAATAGGCCTTCAGTGTTCACTTTCCAGGCCATTTACCAAAGAGTAAAACCTTGCATGAAACAAGGATTAGTAGCCTAACTTTAAAACTCTGTTTGTTGCTCTAAAATAAAATGTGAGTGCTAAATACCCACAATTTTAAAGAAAATGGGGAAAATAGAATTATCCAGGTTTGTAAATTGACCTGTAACACTAACCCAAATGTACATAACAGGGCAAATTGCAATATATCCCCCTGAAACAAGCATGTTGTGCAATGTTATAGAATTGCAGATTTTTTTATTTATCTATTTGATAAATTATCAGAGTTTATTATAATTTGTATTAATATTTTCAATGAGTTTTTATTTATATTTTCCATTTTATTTAAATTTTAGTTAATGTTTTGGTAATTTTATTGTGTGTTTTTGTTTTGTTTTGTTGTGTGTCATTTCTAATCGTTTTTTATGTCTATATAGTTTTTAAAAAAGTTTTAGTTAGAAGGCTAAATCAAGTTAAATTAAATTAAAATGAGAAATGTTGTCTTGGCAACTAGCTAAAATAAAATAAGTTTAAATTTTTTTATATTTTATTTTATTTCAGTTAATGTTTATTTTATTTCAAGTAATAAAAAATAAATGTTATATGGTTTTAGTTTTAGTTAACTATAATAAACCTGGTGCACAGATTCATATCTGTCACATTCTATAAGCTTGCATGAGATACAATTAAGCCTAAAGCATAACTGTTGCAGGAAATGTATAGTCGGTTAGTCTTTTTTTCTTCCATTTGATGAAACACGAACTAAGTTACTAGGTCAATGTGTTTGATGTCAACGTGTCCAAATGCCCAACTTCTATGCCACAGACAGAAAGTGGCCGGTGAATAATGTGTTTTTGTTAAGCTCTATAGCTCTTTAGTATGCAGCCCTTGTCCTATGCACAGGCTTCATCTGGGCGTTTTCTAAAAGAGAATCCACTATATAAATGGAGGGAGGGGGCCAAGCTTTTTATATGACCTACTTGGATTTCACCAACATCCAGTAGCTATGTTCTAATTTTATGTTTGCCAAAATCATCTATACAAAGGTTATCATCTTGACACCTCTGGCCAATAGTTGCCCTGTAATGTTTAATCGCATACAACCTTTGTTGTTCTATGAAGAAATTAGTCTTTTAGCCTAAACAACTTGTGAATGTTCAGGTAGCTACATATTTTGGAAATTTCAATGAATGTCTCTGTGACTTTACCCCAGTGAATATTTCTCAGAGAAGGTTTGTTTTTGAAGGTTCAGAAGTGTTGACAACATATAACCTAATGAATATTTCCAACATTACTGCCTAGAAAAAAAAAGATATTTCATTGAATATTCATTGACATCTCAAAGAGAATAGTCCTACTTATTATTATTGAGAAGATTAATAATAATCAAGTTAAGAAGTGTTGTTAATGTGGAAAATCGTTTTTTAATAGCCTATGATAATATTTAATCTTCTCGCCTAAAAAGAATATTCTCAAAAGCGAAATTCAACATTTTCGGGTAAAAACTCGATAAAACGCAACTGACATAAATTCAGTACAATTTACACAAAAAAAGTTTACAAATATTTTTTTATATAAAAATGTACTATATCATATTGGAATTTTAGTTTGGCGTGACAGAATTCAGGACGGTTTTGAACATCGTTTTTGAAATAACAAACAACAAACATTTATCCAAAACCTAGAAAGAGCCCGTCTCCCCTACATTGTAAAATCTGAACAACAATTGCCCCAATAGACTTTGAAACATAAACATCGCATGTTTGTCTATATTTGTAAACAAGCACAGTCATGTGCAGTGCTGATGGCTCGTTAACCGTTGGTATGCCCCGTGCGTCAGTCAGCAGCACCTCAGCACGAGACCCGGGAGGCATAGGGTTAACAGTTGCGTGAGAAAGAATGTGTGCCAGTCTCTTTGACAAACTTACAACTCATTCAAAACGTATATGCCACGCCCTCACCGTAGACGCAGGGGCTTGACCAATTAGAGAGAAAGAATTTTGTCGTAGATATCTGCCGATGGTCAGATGACTGAAAAAAACTATTTAAAACTCTAATGAGCAACCTGATACAGGTTCATACACTTTCCTGGCACCTCTCAGTGAAGGATTAATTCGTAAAACGTCCTCAGTTACAAAAGTTTGTCAAAAGATTAACGAAAGTATTTTACAGCTCTAAACATTATGGTAGAAAAATCAATAAGAATTGCAATTTGCTTGTGTTTTATCCTGTGCCATTCATTCGGTGCCATAGCTGCTGCGCCCGGCGAGAACGCTCACTCGAAAGGTAAGATAGCTCTTTTAAGTCTTTAGTTTACTAAATAATTACTGTTAACGGATTTTTAATACTAAGCGTTTACTTTAGTGTGCAGAAATTCCTCATTGATTTATATTTTGAAGCTTTTCTGTTTATAATCATTTTCTTCGCGGACAATGGCCAACAGTCCCGATTTCATTCAAACTGTAAGTTAGAGAAACGCGTTTTTCTCACATTCTCAAAAGGACTAGCTACGTGAATGAACCTGTCAATAAAAAAAAAAAAAGAATGACATGAAAGTTTAAATGTCCGCTTTCTTTGACGTGTCGGCGAATCACAAAAGCAAAACCCGGACAATCCACTTTCTTTGGGATGTGCCCTTTAAAAAAACGCCCAGATAAGTCCACGTTTTATCAACGGTCTGCCGCGTTGTCTTGTCGACCGCAGTGACTTTGTTCTGAAAAAACTATAACTTATGACTTTTAAACGACTTGCACGAGCGGTGGATTTAAAAATAAACAAATAAAACAATTATTAGCTTAACGTTTGCGAACAATGTTTGGAATACCGGGGAGCGCCTTAACATAATTTGTTAAAGTGTTACTCCTTGTTTTTGCTCGATTTGTTGTAAAATTACCACATTTTATAAATGTAAAGTAAACAGTAAGTTTTAAACATGAACTGTATGTAACACACACACCTTATGAAAATTAACCATGGTTTTATTATAGTAAAAGTGTGGTAACCATGTTTTTTAGTGGATCAATTACCATTTCCATAACCACAGTTTTACCACAAATTTTTATAAAATTAGTGTATTAGTAGGCTATATCAAAACCATGGTTAATTTGTGGGTACCATGGTTTAACTATAACATGTTTTTTTTTAATTATTTGTAGTAAAACCATGGTTAATTTTAGTAAGGTGTGTGTATATATACAGTAGTCAGCATTTGAAGTGGATCAAAACCTTTCATCAAAGTATACATGAATTTTGAACAATACCTGTTCTTGTCTTAGGACAACTTTGATTAACTTGTTTGATCCACTTCAAATGTTCACTGTGTATACACGCATACACACACCTTACGAAAATTAACCATGCGGTTTTACCACAAATAAAACCAAAAAAAAAAAAAAACGTTACATGCAGCTACTACATACACACCAAAACATAAGCTAACAACAAAAGACCCCCTGTTTGTAAGCATTAGTCTTGTAATACAAAGATGCGATTTACACAGACGTACAAGTTCTATCACCTCAGGAGGATTGTGATCATGTATGTGATTTCACCCCTGTAGCTCATTTCTAATTGGTTAAACTGATTGTGTTTCAACACTCCAGTAATTTTTCAGCCCAAGTAAGGGAAGGAAGACCATGGTTTCATCCTCCTGAAACTGCGTGGACTGTTTGTAAACTCTTACATCCCAAATCAAGACTATATTTGGCATTCTTATAATGGTCAACTGGTTCAACACAAGTTCTGCTCTCTCTACAGTAGCTCAATTGTTCAAGCTAGTCATTAAAACGAGATGTTGTCACAAGACTTGCCATGAATGAACTCGAGCTCAACACCTTATGAAACAATTAAGCTCTTTGAAATGCCTTAAGCACTATTTTTCCAATATTACATGTAGAGTTTAGAGATTTTACATAAACCTAATTCATCATTTTACTCCTCCTTCTAGATGATGCAAAAGACAACTTCTCTTTGGATCCTGTGCAACTTCATGACCGAATCAAGTACAACATGCGAAAGTCTTTTGATCTTGATGACGACGGCTGTTACCTCCAACCTGGGAAAAAGGAAAGCATTGAGGAGTGTGGCTTCAATGCCACAGTCAAGACCATTCTGATCATCCACGGCTGGACGGTGAGACATTCCAGATTGTCATGTAATCTGCCTATGGTTTTAATATTGGATTCGACTTTTAAAGATTTTGACACCAAAGCCTCCACAGCCTTAATCTTCAGAAGGTTCCAAATATTTTATCTTTGAAGCAATGATTGAGGTTTATGTATTTACATTTATGCATTTGGCAGAAATTGTATCCAAAGTGACTTGCATTGCAATTCTTGCTTTCCCTGGGAATCTAACCCATGACCTTGGCGTTGCAAGCGCCAACGCTCTACT